TGGCTGATTCTTATCCAATCAGCGCTAGTCTATACATGGAGAAGCTTCTAGATTCTTCTTATGTAAAAAGCTATAAATATACTAACGGTTTTCCTATTTTGCTTCTTGCTTCACCTAACCTTGTTATTTGGAATATAATCTCCTTCCTGCTCAATCGTGTTCTGATTTGGGGCCTTGTCGAGTGAATCTGTGACCGTGAATACTAAGCGATAGGAATAGCTGGGTTATAACCGTAAGAGCGAAAATATAACAGTGGCGACGAGGAAAAAGGAAAATAAATTCAATATGTCCATATCAGACAACCAGCTTAACCGAATACTACAACAACAGCAACAACAATTAGATGCACAAATGCGGTTGTTAGAGACTCTGACTCAACAGCTTAGCTTCCACTGCTCGAGTTCACATGCCATTTCAAGTACGTCTTGTGATGCAGGTGCTAGCAGCATACCAGAATTCATCTATGATCCCGAAATACTTTTCTCACGTGGTTCAAACGTTGGGAAGATACATTTAGAATAGAATTCTGTAACCAAGACGACGCGTGGAAGACTCGACTGTTGGTACGTAAGTTAGGAATTAATGAACATGCGCGCTATGCTGACCATATATTGCCTAAGTTACCTCGAGAGCTCAGTTTCGAGGAGACGATAATTCAATTGTCAGAGATATTCGGTGAATCCTCCTCATTGTTTAGTATTCGACATCAGTGTCTAAATTTGGTGAAACGCGAAGCCGATGAATATGGTGTTTTAGCAGACATCGTCAACAGAGAATGTGAACGGTTCAAGTTACGCTCGTTGACAGAAGACCAATTTAAATGCCTAATATTCATCAAAGCTCTTCAGTCACCACAAGATGCTGAGATCAGGACTAGACTTTTGGCTCGACTGGATCAAGACCCAAACGTCACACTCAGAACGTTGACAGATGAGTGTAAGCGGCTACAAAGCATCAGACACGACAACGAGTTGATTGAACAGGTAAATCCTAATTTAACCTGCAGTAGTGTCAATGTTAGTACTAGGTTAAAAGCTCAGAAGCCGATAACAACTCGTAACAAACCAACAACTGCATGCTGGTTATGTGGTGATTGGCATTATGTACGATTCTGTCCATTTAAAAAGCATATATGTCAGGTGTGCAACAAACGTGGACATAAAGAAGGTCATTGTCCACCGAAACATACGTCTCATCCCAAAAAGAAGCATAAACGTTCCCGACATGTGAAATCAGCCGAGCCTAACTCCCTTTCTCTGGTAGCTGCCTTTCAAACAAACTATGACATTCGGAGAAAGTATGTTACCATCCAGATAAACGGCATATCAGCTCGTCTTCAAATTGACACGGCATCAGATATCACCTTAGTATCTAGAGAAACGTATAACTTGCTGGGTAAACCGCCAATGAAGCCATCTAAGAAAACGGCCAAAAACGCATCAGGTGGTGTGCTAAAACTGGTTGGTGAATTACAGTGTGAATTTTCCTTCAATGGAACTAACTGTACAGGAATATGTTACCTAACAGAACGGCCAAACCTTGATCTTCTTGGTCTAGATATGTTAGATAAACTTGGAATAATGGATGTACCGATTAACAGTGTCTGCAACGTATTGTGTTCATCATTAGACACCCCAGTACTTGCAAAGAAGACAGGTGAAAGGTTACTAGAAAAACTGAAATAAAAGTTTGCCTCCATAGCAGTAGACCCAGAAATACGAAGTATAATGGCAGATGCCATTCGAAACACTCCAGTGTCGTCAGATGAAGTCAGAGAAGAAACTCTTCGAGACCCGATTCTACAAGAAGTTAGAAAGTTCCACCTGGAAGGATGGCCCGCGAAGATCAGTTCCACAGAGCTTCAACAGTTTTACCAGCGTAGACTCTCTCTCTCAATCATCGACGACTGCCTGCTGTTTGCAGAACGTGTCATAATCCCAAAGAAGCTACAACCAGCAGTGCTTGAACAGTTGCACGCAGGACATCCTGGAATAAATCGCATGAAAGCATTAGCACGAAGTTATGTATACTGGCCGCATTTAGACACTCAACTGGAGCAGCTATCCCGTTCATGTACCAAATGTGCATTAGCAACGAAAGCACCGCGAAAAGCAGAGCTGCAATCATGGCCAATACCACAGTCACCGTGGCAGCGTATACACTTGGACTTTGCTGGTCCACTTCATGGACAAACTTACCTTTTGGTAGTTGATGCATATAGCAAGTGGCCAGAAATCTTTCTCATGGAACACCCGACTGCAAGCTGCACAGTCAGTAAGCTACGTCAACTATTCAGTCGTTTCGGAGTCCCGGAATTGATAGTTAGTGACAACGGAACACAGTTTACGTCCGTAATTTTCTCACAATTTTGTCGGCAGAACGGAATCCATCACGTCCGAACACCTCCATTCCATCCCCAATCAAATGGTCAAGTGGAACGCTTTGTGAGTACATTTAAAAATGCTCTAAAAAAATCTAAAGGGGAGGGGACCATCGAAGAGATCTTAGAGAGGTTCCTGCTTATTTATCGCTCGACACCGAACCCTCAGACGATTAAGGGGGTCTCTCCAGCAGAAGCTCTACTTGGCAGAAAAATACGAACACATTTCGATGTCATCCGTCCTACGCCAGCTCTTGAGCCTCAACGAAACCTATCTATGGAGAATCAGTTCAATCGACATCATGGGGCACAAAAACGGTTGTTCACGGTGGGACAAAAAGTACTTGCTATGGACTATCGTGAGAAACATCCTACATGGACAGCTGGTCGGATCTTGAAAAAGAAGGGGAGTGTGGTTTATGAGGTGTCAGTTGGCTCAGAAGTTTGGGTACGTCATGCTAACCAATTGAAATCAACTTCGATAGCCAGCAATGAGATTCAATATCGATTACTTCTTGATGTTCTGCTAGACACCTTTGAAATCAAAACGCCTGGAACAGACAGGTCAGTTTCTGTGCAAGCAAAGAGTGATACTTCTTTATTGCCTAGACGATGGACAAATCGAAAGCACAGGCCAGTCACTCGGTTGCAGTTGGACCCTAGCACCAGATCCTACGAATCTGCTCAAAGGGGAGGTGTTAGTGGGACATAGATTGGATTTAAGCATGCTCAATGTACGATTGCTTTGGCGCACGCTGATTGGCTGATTCTTATCCAATCAGCGCTAGTCTATACATGGAGAAGCTTCTAGATTCTTCTTATGTAAAAAGCTATAAATATACTAACGGTTTTCCTATTTTGCTTCTTGCTTCACCTAACCTTGTTATTTGGAATATAATCTCCTTCCTGCTCAATCGTGTTCTGATTTGGGGCCTTGTCGAGTGAATCTGTGACCGTGAATACTAAGCGATAGGAATAGCTGGGTTATAACCGTAAGAGCGAAAATATAACACTAATATTGGCTGGTGACTTTAATGCTCAAGTAGGTAAACTAAGCGAAAGGGAAAGACACCTGGGGGGATCTTATGGTGTCACGGCTCAAAGAACAGATAACGGCGACCGTCTGTTTCTTGCAAACACTAACTTTAAGGATAAGGAAAAACATCTTTTGACATGAAGACCCCCTAATTCGTCCCAACGCTAGACCCAAATAGATCACATCGCTATCAGCCACCGATGGAGGGACTCGATAGAACATTGTCGCTCACTCTCGAGCCCATGCTTAGACTCAGATCATGCTCTAGTGCGAGCGCGTATTTGTCTACGTCTTACTGGACGTAGGAAAGATGGTGCAAGGAAACCCCTTAGGGTTCTACTTAATGATAGTCAAGCTAAGAGTATATTTCAGGAACAACTAGAAAAACAGTTAGGCAGCCATGTATGTGATGCCCACCCGGAGGCAGCGTGGAATGACATCGGAAAAGCTGTAGAAACAGCAGTGATGTCTGCAGGCATGTTCGGCATGCGATTTTCTCCCTCGAAATGCAAAATGTTGCTTCAGGATTGGGTTGCATCGATACCCGAACTAGTGATAGGGAGTGAAGTAGTTGAGCGTGTCGGCCGCTTCACTTATCTGGGAAGTTTCATCAGCCCTTGTGGTCTGGTGTGTGACGAAATCTCAGCACGGATACAGAAGGCTCAACTAGCTTTTGCCAACTTGCGTCATTTGTGGCGTAGGCGAGATATCCGTCTATCAATCAAAGGACGTGTTTACTGCGCAGCAGTTCGTTCCGTCCTACTTTATGGCAGTGAAACATGGCCAGTAAGAGTAGAGGATATTCGTAGGTTACTAGTATTTGATCATAGGTGTCTTCGAAACATTGCTCGTATATCCTGGGACCACCGAGTAAGCAACTCAGTTGTTAGGACACGGGTACTAGGTAAGGATGACAAATCAATTGATGATGTAGTGAAACTTAATCAGTTGAGATGGCTGGGACATGTATTGCGCATGCCCGACCACCGACGTGCTATGTTTTCTGGTGTAAAAGTAGGTTGGAAGAAAGTTAGGGGCGGCCAGACCAAAACATGGCACAAATCCATGAAGTCACTGACAAGTGGACTGAGCCATGTTGGTAGGTGTAGACTACTTGGTTGGGGACCGCGAGATGATAGCAACCGATGGTTAGAGACCTTGAATGACATGGCTCAAAATCGTTTGCAATGGCGCAGGTGCATCCACTCTTTGTGTTCTCTCAAACTCTAATCTTCTGAATTCTTCATGTCCTTTATTTTCTTTCCAAATCTATTCTACTGGACTATACTCCTTAAATAACATCATCAAACCTTAATGTTCCCTATTACTACTTATACTTTCACTACCTCTACCACTACGGGATTTGAATCGATAACTGAATCTCTGTGCTAATGTGGTATGGCAACTCGAACTGATGTACGTACGAACGAAGTTCCACTTTGTTACTGACTGCATAATGCTAAAATGCATTTGAAGCATTGTTTCTAAACAAAAGTAATATTTAATGTGATTGCCATGCACTACGCAAAATTGTCTTGCAAATCTAATATTAATTTTGGTACTAAATGGTGATCTAACCACAAAGCTTCTTGTTCGTTTTTGTGTTTAAGTGGTCCGGCTGACTATTCCTTAGGATTCGTAGTTTAGAATTACGATGTGGAATTTAGGATTACGGTTTAGAATTTAAGGATTGGTACTAAGTTTTGCGCTTAGTTGATATTCGTCCTAAATCTCAACCATAACAGTAAACTCTATAATCTGCTTCTTAACCGTAAATCGTAATCTCAAACAATAATACCGAACCTAAATCCTAGCCTTAGCATTATCGATCACCAGTTAGGTCATTTAAGTCGTCTTTTGAACTTACTGTAATATTTCGGCTTTACTTGTCCTTTAATAATAGCCGATATCAGTCGGTGATGAAACCCGAACCCTGATTCCTAACCTTAATACTCCTAATTCCTAACCCTAACCTTTTTTCGTTAACTAGTCATGTTATTCCATCTTTTATTATTATTACTACTTTTTATCATGAATTGCCTTAAACTTAACATTTTTCGATTGTTTGATTGGTCACTTAAGGCTATCTGTATGGTATAGTTTTACCTTTCTATTTTATATAAATTCAGCCTTTGCTTACATTCTAAACTTTTAGATTATAGGAATAATATAACATTAGTGTTCTACATTAAACTGTTAGGAAGGAGCAAAATATTTAGCTCAATAATTTAGTCATATTTATTAGTTTAAGCATTATGACATTTTGATTTTATAAACTGTATACACACATTAAATTCTTAATTAACTTCATATGGGTTTTGTGGATATTATAATAATTTCAATGGTTAAGGTCATGAATCAGTGGTCTAGTGGTTAAGTGCTCGCGCGCGAAACCAGTAGGCCCTAGGTTCGAATCTCGCAGAGGGCGAGGTCGTGGATGCGCACTGCTGAAGAGTTCCACAATAGGATGAAACGGCCATCCAGTGCTTCCAGGTTTCCCATGGTGGTCTAGCTTCAACTGACTCATGATCTTAATTAACTGTTAGTTCAATTCATTCAAATTTGTTTATTGATCAAACATTTGAAATGGCTGGATGCGATGAAGACAGCAAGACTGTTAAATAAGAATTTACTTGTTTAACAAACACTGATTAAAACGGCATCCAAAATAGTGATGATACATCATTTTAATCTTGTTCTGTTAAATAAGTAGTAGCAGAAGGAAGTTATTTCACGAGCATACATACTAGGAGCAGTAATCAGAGATTTTGATGAAATATAATTTAGAAACATACTTCAAAATAGTTATACTGAATGGTTACTTCATTCTATCTTGCAAAACATTTACGAAATGTTAGTAATCGGTTGATCCCTTTACTGATTTGTTTGTTAGTACTCTACTCAGTTTACAGCAATAAATTTCCTTAAACCGTAACTAATTTCGACCAAATCACCAAAGATGATTTAGTTCTGTCTTATCGTTTTAGAATATGATTACTTTAAAATCATATACGATATGTACTAGGTACACTGCGGATTTTATTCTCTCTATTGTCTTTGTTAAAGAGTATATAGGTCACATCTTTAGTTCAAAAAAAGTTTGTCCATTCTTTTGTTATGTACTTTGCTGTAACTGATCTTCCATAAATGTCAACATTTCATCATGTTTGTGTTTCTTGAAATTAGGGCTGCCTTCAATTCGTTGGATAGGACTGTTCTCTGGGATTGTCTATTGAAGAAGGGTGTGCCTGAGAAGTTTATTAACGTCCTAAAAGCCCTATATACAAACACCGCAGGCAGAGTGAGGGCATACAACCACCTCTTTCCATTGTTCCATCCGAGCAGTGGGGTTAGGCAAGGTTGCCCAATCTCACCATTCCTCTTCAACTTTGCCATCGATGACATTCTGGAAATAGCTCTGATGGATGTAAGTAATGGCGGTGTGGATCTGTTGCCTGGAGAAAGACTTCTCGAACTTGAGTATGAGGATGATATTGTCTGTGCGATAATGCCCGAGGCATGCAATCCGCACTTAGTCAGGTGGCAATCAGTGTCCGTAGGTATGGTATGTGCTTTGCACCCTCGAAGTGCAAAGTACTTCTACAAGACTGGCAGGATTCTAATCCTGTACTCCCTCTGGATTGTGAACAGATAGAAGTAGTCGAGAAGTTCGTGTATCTAGGTAGCTGCATAAGTGCTCCTGGTGGCGTGAGTTATGAGATCAATGCACGTATAGTGAAAGGCAGAGCGGCTTATGCCAATCTGGGCCACCTTTGGCGCCTTCGTGATGTTAGTCTGGCTGTAAAAGGTCGGATCTACAACGCGTCGGTGAGAGCAGTTTTGCTTTATGCTTGTGAAACCTGACCTCTCCGAGTTGAGGATGTTAGACGACTCTGTGTTCGATCATCGTTGTCTCCGAAGGATTGCTGACATTCAGTGGCAACACCATGTTAGTAATGCAGAGGTTCGGCATCGTGTGTTCGGGAACAGAGACAACAACCCAATTGGTGTCACCATCTTGAAACACCGACCTTGGTGGCTTGGACATGTTCTACGGATGTCGTCCCAGAGAATTCCTCGTCGTGTATTATTTGCCGACGCTGGGACCGGTTGGAAAAAGCGGAGAGGCGGTCAGTGTATGACATGGTGAAAGATTTCCTCTGATTGTACTTTTTCGTTTCCCCCATTATTATTACTATTACACTACTTTACACTAATCTGTTCGTTATTGTTCTTTTTTCTACTCTCCTTACCCTCCTTCTTCCATTCTCTTTATATTCTCATTGTTTTGTGTGGCGCATATATATTTGGTGCCCTATTGTACCAATATTTATGTGTTCAAATAAATAAATAAACTGTAAATCATATTACCTGTTAATGATTAATTGACACAGTCAGGTGACCGCTCCAGTTGATAATATTACTTCCTTCAAAGTGAATTGTTTTTCTCTGTGTATGAATTTCGCTTTCAGTAATGAGGTGATGCTATATTTATCAATCTTTTTATTATCAAATATATTGTTAACCGGACTTTTGTAAATTCTTAGTTTCTAATCATATTAAGTGACATTCTTTGTCGCGTCATTTGATACAAAAGGCCCTATCGATATGTCTATATTTTGATGAAATCTAGACTAAATTAGTCCATTGTTTGTTAGTTTTGTCAAAAGATTTAGACTTAATGGGCCGAATCAGCGTGAGAGTGGGAACTAGCAATGATCAGTAACTTAAAGTCGAGTTCACTGGTGGAGAAAATAGCTGCGTTCACTACCTTACTGCTACATATCTAGCCACTAAATACCACGGTTGTTGTTCTTTGTCTCATGTCACTCTGACTTTACCCAGTCATATTATTAATTGTAGTAACTTAAGACAATGTTTTGTCATACAAAACCATATTTACACTTTTTTCCTTTGACTGACAGAGTTACTTATTGATTAAAAACAATATTTTCTAGGTTATTACATTTTAGTATGTTTTCTGTAGAGATAATACAATTTGAGTTCAAACGTAGATGGTCATATCGATCAATAAATTATAAAAACAGGTCTAATCACTATTTATGATCGGTGAGAATGATATATTTTTCTATTCTAGTGATTAAGGCATTCGACTTTCAACCGATGGCTTCTAGTTTCAAATGCCTCTTCATATTCTTCGCTGAAGGTATTCCTCATACAAAACACCTGGCTCAAAGCTTGCACGTGCTTACTGAATTGCATTTAGTCTTGTTTTAGGATAAATAATATAAAGCTTATCAAATTCCTACTTATTTTTCTTCAATATGAAATTCATTATGTTAAAGCATTCAACTGTCATTAAACTATGTTCTTCGTTTTGCGTAGATGGTTAAAACAGGAAAAAGAAGTTAAAGAAATGGAAGAAAACGCGGGCAACCAACCAGCTAAAGATATGAGTTTCAAAGAAGGGGAAAAAATAAAATTAAATCTGAATACCCGTCGTACAGGGGATGATCCGAATCCCAAATCAAAAGTTACCCGCCCCCTTACTTATGGATTATCAAGTGGTCTACTGCCCCCTCCTCCGCCACCGGCAGTTTCTCGGTCTCGTGGTAGTCGCGTTGTAGGAGATACCGCCCCGTTATCTGGTAACTTATTGGACAGTGACCCGTCACAACCAAACTATACAAATACTGTGTGCACACCGAATGTAAGTATAATCAAAAGGAATAATTCTTAATTCCTTTTTGATTTTTTAATGTTATAATGTTTGTTGCTCATTGTTCTATCTAATATATGCGTAATAAATCAAGCACAATATAGGAGTCTTTGCGCCGTCAAAGGTTCCCATATAGTTTACAGTGTACTGCACCCTGAAGAAATCGAGTGACTATCCTACTAGCATATGGTTCTTTGACTGTTTTCCAATTTTTCACTTGTTGGGCATAAACTAACCTTCATTTCATCTCAAGATATCCTAATTAATTTTTACCACTTCAGTAATGAGAAAGATGAGTTGTGTTTCGACCATTAATTTGGTGGTATTTTTGGTGTGTGTACCGCGTAAGGAGATTGGTTTGTTTTAGTGGTAATTTATGTACTTTAACCTTAAAGGGAAAAGATTATTTTTCTGTTTGTACCTAATATAGATATAGATATTTGACAAATTTTTAAAACATTCATCTCTGTAGAATATAGATTTTAATAGTAACGTGTTATATCTATGGATCATAGGTAGTCGTCTTGAATTTCGATTACCATACATTTTTTACAAGCACTCCAACTCCATTCATTTCAACGTTAAAGTGTTATGCTTAACCCAATCTGTCCTTGATTATATTACATAATCTTGACAGACAATATTTATGTAGTAAAAGACAGCAAAATGATTTGATCATAATTATGAACATCTATTTATTAAATCGTCATAGATAACTGAAATCAAAAGCAATCACTTCTGCCGCAGTAGGCGACGAACATCCTTGTTCCAGTTTATTAGCCGTCTCAAATTTAGTTCTATACAAATATGGATAATTACTCACTAGGACCCATTGATCCAGATGGGATTTTATAAGTGATAATACCTCGTTAGTCATACTATGTCCGTTCGATCTTTTAAAGTTTTTGTACAGTAGTCAGTCATATTCTCACACTTAAAAAACAACAATCGGCAGCATTTTAGATCCTTGCTGTTCATTATTTTCAAACTATTCTGTTTGTTTTTAAGCACACAACAATACGCCATCTCAACTTATTGAGAATGACTTCACATGGGATTTCGTCTTGTAGAACCATGAATTAGGCGTCGTTTTAGTTTAACTCGAACTGTGCAATTATTTAAAAATAATCTTAATTAAATTATTTCCACCATAAACTAATACTGTATGATATTTCCAGGTTCCATCAACCACTTCAAACGTCGACCTTCTAAGTGATTTCCTCGGGAATTCTGGGCAGTTCTGAATGCCATCAAATCACTACATGAAGATATTCTATTTTACGCTTCTTATTCATTCCTCTTTAATGCTCGAAATAAGAAGACTGTTTATAGCATTCTAACGATATTTAAGTAAAAGTCTTTCAGTTAGAACCTGATTTATTGCTACATTATTAATGCGAGGAAATATTATTGTTTGCATTTGTTAAAAACGTGCTCTTGCGATATATATATATATATAGTTTCTCGCTTTTGTGAATTTTATTCATGTAGTCTGGTTTCATCATTGTAGTGAATTCCGAACAGAATGAACCACTAGTGGTTCCCTGTACATGGTTCTTACAACATTTCTCGGCAAAACTCACTATTATTTTCAAATCTTATCATATTGATATGTCTTCTTCTGACAGAATAAATTGTGTTGACTTCAGTTCATCCCATTTTTGAGAAAATTCCTCGCCATACGTTGCCGTTTAAAAATACCGCTGATAAGTGACATTTCCCAGATGTTAAACGTAGTGGTAATATCACATACTTGCCTGTTTCAAGACCGGTCCTGATATGGTCGACCCACCAAGGGTAGTTAGAAAACTGATTTCAAACCAATGGTGCACATGGGCTTCAGTACCCTGAGTGAACAAATTATTGGTTACCAGATACTATTGGACTGCATCTCCTGTCGTTGTTCCACTGCCTTGTGAATCAGACCACTAAGTCGAAGGCTGCGATTGCGGCCCCTTAGGATAATCACCTGTGTCGATTTCGGCACCCATACAATGTTCCACAAATCGAATGATTTGTGGAGCATATAAATCTGGTTTTTAGATAAATAAAAAAAGTTTAAATCAGGTAGCGATACGTACATCACCCGGCCCGCAACGTTTAAAATACCGGGGGTTGGAAGTATTCAGTTTATTTATTTTATTTGGACACATAGATATTGGTACAAGGAGGCACCAAATACATATGCGCCACACGAATCTCAATTGATTTGTGTGAGGGCTGTGATACTGCCCGGGTGCCCAAACCGGAGCAGGTGGTTTTCTAGTGGGGCTGCACCCGGAGCCTTCGACCTAATGGTCTGATCCACAAGGCAGTGGGACAACAACAGGAGATGCAGTCCCGTGGTAGCCGGTGAGCAACGATACTGGAGCCCATGTGCACCATTGGTTTAGAATTAGGGTTTTCCAACTCCCCTAGGTGGGCTCTTCGTGTCCATTGACCCGGTTAAAGCACCGGACATTCGCTTTTCGTCCTCTCAATTTCGTGAACAACACCCCCGCCACGAGAAGGCAGTGAGTAGGACTTCCCTGGCAGAGGCTATATACGCGTGGCCATGTGAGAGCACTTCGAGAGGGTGAGTGGACTCTCCCCACTCTCGGTCGTATCAGGGCATCTGCGAGCAAAGTTATTGATCTGTTGGGTCAAACCTAGAAATGTCATTGATTAAAACCCAGTTGTACCTTATTCATTTTTTAATGTAAGTAGCAATAATACGACATAATAATATAGGTTGATAGCAAACTACTCAACTGACTTCTGTTCAAATATCAACAACTAAGTTATTGCCGAAAAGGTTTTCTTAAAAATATGCAATTGTCCATGGGTCACAACATACTTAAGCAAAGAATACGTTCTAACTACTCATTTTGCAAGCTGCGAGAAGGAACCTTCATATACAACAGATTTATTAGACCTGGCTTATATTGAAGAGTGTGAACTACGTTCCCAATAAAATGCTTACTTAAGCCGTGTACTGGCTAATCAATCTCTTAGTACGAAACGCGGAGTTAAGGGTTTTCTTTTCAACAGCGCTTTACGCAAACGCTACTTGAATTATAAGACTTGCCGCAACACCTATAGTACCTCAACAGTTACGGTATGCACGTGTTTCTATCTGTACGAACAGTATTTGTAGTTGCTGAGCGTTTTCTGACTTCGTACTGAAACAGGGCATCTAACAATTGAAGCATGTTTGTATCAGGCCATGTCATTGTATGATAATAAGGTGAGGGATCTTACCACCGCACATCAGTACATAATTAGTGTTTTTAAGGCTGATATTGTTACAAGACATGAGCAGTACAGTTTTGCAGAAAAGGTTGCATTAAAAATTGATAAGTAGTTTAAGGACAACACAAATAGACATCAACAAATATAATTAATGAATTCACAAATACAAGAATTTAACCTTTGAGAGAACTCATTCCGGCTCGCATTATCTCGTCAACAAGCAATATGTTGGAGGCAATAACAGAACTGAAAAGAAAGATATAAACACTGAACTGCAAGCTAGTGTACTTTTCAAAGTATTATGGTAAGGCTTTTTGCTGTTAGTCTAATCCACATGTATAGATTAATAAAACAGGAATTAGTATACTGCAAGGCTTTTGAGGATGAGATAGGAGTAAACAATTTGAATTTTTGTGGAGGATTAGACTATGACCGTAGCTTAAAAGGTCCACATTTGCTTGACGAATGTTATGACTTCATACATTAAATCGATCGGCCCGATAAATATATCTGTTTGGATGACCGGTTCAGGTGAATGTGGTAAAAGACGTAGTTACAAATAAGTTATTAGCAGCGGTCAGCGCAATTACATATTTTATGAAGATCCAGTCAGTTGTTAGGGATGTGGACATGAATCAACCGAAGTTGTACAAACAGTAATAAAAAGATGAGGCTTAAAAACGACTAGTGAAGAATGGATTCAAGTAATAAAACAATTGATAAGCTCAGCAAAAAGTGGATGTATCTGCGACACTGATTCTGACAATTGTTACTCAACATCTACAATCACTCATTGTGATTTCCAAGTGGAATCTATCAACACACTCCAGTCCAACAGACAATGATGTCATGGACTAATCTCACATCTTCGTTTGTCCATCTCTAACTGCCTTTCAAACTACTTCTAAACCATCTAACAGGTGCGCCGGAGTAGATGACGGTTGGGTATATATGGTACACATTTCAATCACCTCATTCCATAAAGATTCACTACTTCATCAACCCATTTGCCATCTTCCTTTAGTATTTTTAGTAGGAAAATCTCCAAAGAGATCATTCTCTAGGGAGACAGACGAAGATAGTGTCAACAATACTTAACGAATTAAAAACTAGCATCACAGTACTAACGATGGGATAAGTAGTTGAACTATAGTTTCAGACGGATAGTGATTATTATTTGATGACTAGAACTGGATTGAAATCGGGATCATTTTTATGCAAGGAGTTAGTGAGTCAAAATAAACGTAGTACCTGTTACATCAGCTCCAGTTGTCATACACCATTGGTATAAATAGATTAAATTTTTAGGGAAAATCGCTTAGTAAATATATAGTTTCAGTGGTATAAGAAAACAACAGACATAGAAGGTACGATTCAAGAAAATATGAGTCAGTAAAATAATAAGATTATGAGGAATTTAAGATCTCATATTTTGAGGGAAGACAAAGAATGGATGCACGTGCACCATTAGAATCAATTTCGAGTCATGTCATTGAGAACCTCTAACCATTGGTTACGGTAATCACGTGGACTAAAACCAGGTAGTCTACACCTGTTAAGATGGCTCGGTACAACTATCAAAGACTACGGACTGGTGCTACGTCCTGGTTTGATCGCTCCTAACTTTCTTCTAATCTAATCCTATACCAGACAACATTGCTCGTCGAGGTGGACTGTGGTTGGGCATACGTGAAGCATTTCTCAACCACCACAATTAATGAAGACTTACTACTTCATTAATCGACTTGCCATTTTTACCTAGCACTACATCCCTAACCCAACCTACAAACAAATTTTGGAGTAACAGCCGTTGAAAGTATTTCGAGCGTTTTTACTTAAGAACAAAATGAATGTGCTACACAACTATTCTTTCTTAGCTTTCAAACTTTCAGAAAATAATTCAACTTCCATTGTTTTCTAGCGAGATCAGATAATTTTAGCCGGTTTTGAAATATCTATCTATAACTGAACTTTGAATTTACTAGCTATCGATGACCAGTTATTTTGCAAACAAGTGAACAACTCAAAATACTATATGGAGTGAGCATACTGTTTTAGTTGAAACTCGTTGAGTATTTAAATAATTAAAAAATAAAATTACTGATCAGTAAAAAAAATGGTTAAACAGATGTTTATCCACAAAACATGAAATACGACTCAACAAGCTTACCAGGAATTAATTATTTGCTTTTTCACAATGAAGTTGTCATAAACTCCAACTTGAGCAGGAATCATTGCTTCCCCCGTAGTAAGATCAATTCCTACAAGCTGTGTGGGGATAATATTGCTGCAACGATTATCCACCTTAGTCGCTTCTTCAAGCAATTTCACCATTGTTTCCTGAGCATCATGACCGGCATTCCTAGCTAAAACTTTTGGAATAACAAGCAACGCATCTGCAAATGCCTGAACACCGAGACGAGCACGACCCTTAACAGACTGTGCAAATTTGCATAGCTCGCGATAAGCAACTAATTCAAAAGCTCCTGCTCCTGGAATGACACACTCTAAAATTTAGAAAAATGTGAATTAACAAAAAAAACAAATCCTGAGAATATTTGATTTATGCAGGTTTTTCCTTAAATATCTAGAGCGCCGTCAACTACTATCAAAGGCCTACGGCGTGTCTATCTGCTTAGGCTGCTACACTTAGAGGGTAAATTAATAAGACGGAAAGAGGTGGAAGTGATTTACACTACAATGGAAATTAAAACAAGGGAGTTTCTCGCGTTACGCGGAATCGAGTAAAGCAGGTATAGGTAAAGGTGAAAACTATGTGGATGTGGTTGAGATATGCCAAACATGCTAATTCACGATCTATATCAATGTGCAATGCTGGCTTGAATAAATGTAGATTGCAAGTTGGAAGTGGGCTAACCGAGACGAAATATTAATCAATAAAGTCGACTTTATTTTAGGATTGTTAGGTGCAGACTGTACTTAAATACTTGAGAGACTGTTCACAATCAGCTAAAGTGGTGTAGATGCATTCATTTTTTAAAACAACATTGAATTGCAATGTTAGTTCATACTTTTTATTTTGTCAATTTATTTGATCTTTCATAACCACAATCTCTAAATATAGTGCTTCTTAGCATCACTAACATTACAAAAACTTTTACTATCTCGGTATTCGTTTATTTGATTTCATCTGGCTATGTTGATATGGTGCGGTAAATTGGGTTGATGGACAATTGTGCTAAGTTTTGTTTTGCTTACAATTGGTTAAAATTTTAAAAGAAGCAAACGAAATCGAGTAATTTGAAGTTAAGATTTGGAGGGTGAATATCGTGTGGTAAACTCAATCGGCGTAAATTTCTGCAAGGCTCTACGTTGATCATAACTGCCTGAAAATACCTATAAATGCAGGCGAAATACAAAAGTCGCAAACATACGTCTTTAAAGTTATACTTGAATTTATTGGCACTATAGTGTAGGTAATTTTTACGCTTAGTCGTTTAACAAAAATATATCAATACAACGCTGATTATTGTGAAGTATATAAGCAATTTGATTGGTAGACAGATATCTCGTTTTTTTGGAAGACATCTAGAAACCTAAAGGGGAAATAGCAGACTTATATGTCCACCTTTACATCCGAAACATGCGTACTATGTCAACATAAGTTTCGCAGATTTAGTGTTTACGGGCTTCAGCCTAGTGTCATATGCTTACGGATACTAATATTTTAGACTACAATACTTAATCACTGTGAAAAATTATATTTTTAAAATCTCAGACTGAACTTCATTTATTTATTTGAACACATTGGTAAAAGCCCGACCGTAGCTGCTACCTTGATGTGGTGGTCAGGCTTGCCTATCGTGATGACCCAACCGAGCTATATTGGCTTGAACATATGTTCCTGCAGGTTCTACCATGCCAGGCAGGTCGATTGGAGAACGGTAAGACTAAAAGCAGCAACTCAAGGTCTAAGGGCGAAGTCGTACTGCTGACTGTACAGAGGTGTGACAGCAGTAAGGTGTTTCCCTCGGACAACCAGCATCTGCAGCGATGCTGCCTTCTCACAAGGAAGGAAGGGTTAGAAAAGGTTGACCCTAAAAATGTCACACCTCACCTTACCCCACGGATTTCCGTCTCCGCGGTAAGGTCTCAACAAGTACGGAGCTAACACGTTAAAAACCTCCCACAAAAAGGCCGTGCGCGACCGGCCTCAAGCAGTTGTCCCTTGGGCTCTGCGGTCACGCACCCAGGTCGATAAGACCAACACTAATCTGATTTCCTTTTCAGGTCCCTCAAGAAATACCCTTCCACGGTGTGGGCAGCCGGAAAGTGACATCAGCCCTCATACCCGTAACAGCACACAAGACCAAGTTGGTCACATTCAAATCCTTCCTACATCTCCTAATAACGTTATTCCTGGTCTCCTGAAACCACACTCTAAACTACACCTAGGAGCTTTCAACGTCCGAACACTGCCAACTAGGACAACAGGCTTTCTTAGCTAGGACTTTAGAATCTCGCTCCATCGATGTGTGCTGCGTCTCCGAAACGTTGATTGACCTGATTTAAGCAAAATTTCGGATAAACAGGAATGTCGTAAGAATTAAGTCAGTCAGTCAGCTGCAACGTAGGACCAGGCACGTATATGCATCGGTCCAAGTTACCAAACCTCATTAGCACAACAAGATGAACAGCGGATTCATAGAAGTAGTTAACTCAGTGGTGTAATATATAGAAGAAAGATTGCATATAAGGAGATAGTACAAGAAGAAAGAATTAGTTCCTACAAAGAAAGATATGAAGCGATTTTAATCTTTTGGTTTAAAGGAAGACAGAGAGTGTATACACCGACGCCATTGTGATCGATTCTGAGCCATGTCACCAAGAGTCTCCAACCATTGGTTACGATAGTCACGCGGACCCCAACCAGGCAGTCTGCATCTACCAACATGGCTCAGACCAGAAGTTAGTGACTTCAAGCACTGATGCCACGTGTTGGTTTGGCCACCGCTAACTTTCTTCCAATTATCCCTAACACCAGTTAGCATTGCGCGTCGTGGTAATCGGTGTTCAGGCATACGCAGCACGTGGCCCAACCATCTCAATCGATGAAGATTCATAACCTCATCAACTGATTTACCATCATTCCCTAATACCCTGTGTCTAACCTCACTATTACTTACAGGGTGATCCCAGCAGATACCCGCAATATTTCTAAGGCACCTGTGGTCAAATACTAGTAACTTACGAGTATTTTCTACTCTTATTGGCCATGTTTCGAAGCCGCATAGTAGAACGGATCGAACTGCCGTGCAGTATACTCGTCCCTTAATTGATAGACGGATATCTCGCCTTCGCCATAGATGTCGTAAGTTGGCAAAGGCCAAACGAGCTTTTCGAATCCGTGCTGAGATTTCGTCAGACACCAACCCATTAGGGCTGATCAGACTTTCAAGATAAACGAAGCTGTCGACGCGTCCGATTACTTCACCCCCTATCCTTAGTTCAGGTGTTGATGCAGACCAGTCCTGAAGCAACAACTTGCATTTAGAGGGGAGAAGCGCACCCCTAACATCCTGGTATTGTTGCTCAGTGCTACCAAAAGACTCTGCATTTCATCAGCTTCTTCACCAAACAGGACTATGTCATCTGCGTATTCTAAGTCGATAAGTGGACCTCCTGGTAGGAGATCGATGCCGGAGAATTCAGTCGATGAGAGCGTTATTTCCATTAGTACATCTATGATGAAGTTAAACAAAAATGGAGAAAGTGGACAGCCTTGGAGGACACCACTTGAGGTTACAAAATCAGATGACAGTTCGCCATAAGCTCTGACTCGACTAGTAGTGTTCGAGTAAAGAGCTTTCACAAGGTTTATGTACTTCTGAGGTACGCCTTTCAATGACAAACACTGCCACAGAACCTCTCGGTCAACAGAGTCAAATGCTGCTTTTAAGTCAAGGAAGACCATTGTCGGACGCCGATTAGTATGCCTGTGTTCTAGAACCTGACGAATGGTGAATATGTGGTCGATGCAGCCACGACCAGGTCTGAAGCCAGCCTGATTTTTACGTGTTTGCAGTTCACGAGTCTTAGTTAGGCGTCCGATAATTATCGAGGCTAGTATTTTAGATACTATATTAGTTAAACTAATCCCTCTATGGTTGTCACAGGATGATTTTGACCCTTTCTTAAATATTGGGACGATAAGCGATTGTGACCAGTTAGATGGGATAACGTCTAACTCCCAGATTTTAGCTAAAATATTAGTCAACGTAATCGCTAAAACTAGACCACCATCCTTAAAGACCTCTAGGGCCAATCCATCTGGACCAGCTGCCCTTCCTCGTTTCAGATTAACTATAGCCTTTTGAACTTCATCTAGAGTTGGGGGACCTACTTCAATGTTCCATTCACACTGTCTGAGAATAGAGGGTAGTTGTAGAGTAGCTAAAGACCAGCTAAACTGCTCCTTAAAATGTTCCACTCATCGTTCTAAGCGTCTGGACTGGGAGCAGATGAGAATGTCGTCTTTTTCCGAAACAGTTTGACTTACACTTGATTTAATTCCAGTTTCTTTTATTAGTCTGTGAAGTTGTCTCATGTTCCCTATAGCCGCCGCCTTTTTCATCTCTTTTGCTTTCGTTGCCCACCACTGCTCACGATCATTCCTTAGACTTTTGCTTAACCTAGATCTGATTTCTTTACTCCCTTCATCGTGTTCAGAACCTGATGCGATGAGTTTACGAGAATCCAATGAGGCGCAAGCAGATGCGTGCTCGTATAAGGGCATGGTCGGAGTTCAAACAGGTACTCCAGAGTGATCGACAATCTTCTACCGACCCTCTCCAACGATGACTGATGGCAATATGGTCTATTTGAGTCCATCGTTGGTTTGGTGCAGGGGGTCGCCATGTTAGACGATGTCTCTCCTTATGCTTAAAATTTGTGTTTGCTAAAATAATCGATTGTCTTAGCATAGTTGCAGCAGACGATCACCATTATCTGTTCTCTGTACCGGAATACTAAAATACCCACCTAAATGTCTTTCTGTTTTGTTTAAGCTACCTACCTGGGCATTAAAGTCGCCTCCTACGAGTACTATGTCTGAACGTTTAGATTTCTGAAGAAGTTCAGAGTTTTCTTTACACACCAGATGTCTTAAACACACTACGGCAAACTCTTACTTCCAACGTTACTAACATGTTTACATAACCTGTTTAGTATAAAGTTAACTGAAGAATCATGTACTTATTAATATTCGATTATGTTTCCTTGAAGGAGCTTGGGCCAGATAGGTGAGAGAAACCGAATAAACTGACAAAAGTCAGACTTGTCTGATAGTCAACACACACAAATCGGGACAGCCGCACTTTAGAGAACATAAATCAATGAAATAAATATACTGCAATGGAAGTCACAAGTAGAGACATATTAGCAAGATTTTGTGCGGCGCTGAATCAGATTTCATGACCTACCACTTAACGTGAAATTTCCAAAATACCGAGTATTGTATGTAGTTATAAATAAACGGAAACTAATTTAAATACTTGCTTACCATCTTCTAAGGTGTTCTTTATAGCACGCAGCCCGTCATTAACCGCATCTTTGATTTGGTTGAGTGTATGTTTATTAGGCCCACGCATCAACAAAGTTACTGATTGCGGACTTTTGCATTCTTCGATAAACGTATATTTATCTTCGCCCTAAAAATAACGTCGAAATTCAAAACAACGTACCAAAACAAATTCATAAACCAGGCCGGCATGTCCAAGACAATCAGGTGTCATTTCATCGACTGAGTTCAGCGCATATCCACCACATGCAAGAGTTACTCTTTCCATATTGCGTTTTTTAGCACGACGTAGAGCGAGTATTCCTTCTCGAGCAAAGGCGTCTAACGAAAATGGGTCAATTCCTTTTTGATTGATTACTACGAATCCAGGTTTGTCACCACCACTAATCTCACCACATACTTTTCTTTTCAGAGCAATCACTTTCTGAACTCTTGAGTCAATAAACTCCCGTTCAGATTTTACAAGAGCTGCTCTTTCTTCTGCTGTCTTGTAAAAGAATCCGGAATTCACCTCACTAATTGATTATAAATATAAAGTTAACTTACGTTTTTTCGTATTCGAAGGAGACGTTACAAGTCAAAATAAATGCATTAGTTACACGTTTAGGCATGTCTGGGTGTCTACCCCCATGATCTAATACCAGACCTTTTACAAGTGTTGTATCCATATCTGTTCTGTGTTGCATTTGCATCAGTTCGACCCGATGCAAGTCTAAAGGTTCGTTTGGTCGCCGGATTGATAATACTGCATCTACAACATGCTACGGGGGTCAAGTAAGCAAGAAATTACCTCAGTTAGGAGGTTAGCCAAATCAGAATGGACTTTTGTATTGAGGGATGTCGCTGCAACGAATATGAGTGTGCTCCTATCTGGCATTTCTGACGGGCAATCGATCCGACACTTGGACAGTATATCCAGACATTTGTTTGCAGCGATATCGAAACCTTCTGTGATCAAACGTGGGTGAAGTCCTTCAGAAGTATGAACATCTGCCTGCTTCAGTAATTCAGCAATCAGAAGGACATTTGAAGTTGTCCCATCACCTGTCATATCATCTTGAGCGGTTGCTACACGCGCAATCAAACTCGCAGTAGGATGTTGTATTTGCATTTCGTGAAGCAAAACGTTACCGTCTTTGGTAATCTTGATATCGCCTGCACCTGAAACAAGCCTAAAACGAACATTAGACAGCATTTTTAGCATACATTTTCATGGTCCCCTTAGGGCCAAGATTAGTTTTCAAAACGTCGTAGAGTCCTCTTGCAGCGGCCAAATTGATACTGAATGCATGCTGAGCCTTTGCGAACTCTGCTTTCGGATTTAATAGAGATATAGATGCCATAGATAATAAACCACGCGATGATTTGAAATCACCACAAACTTGCAACCAAGGTTAAAGAAATCTCTGGAATAATTTGTGTACAACTTTCAATCTTATGGATGACATTATCAAAGCCTGTAGAATTTGAAATTGATGTCCATTCTGCAACTCAATTTTCACAATTACCATGAATTAAAAATATTACTGTTACCAAATAATGCTTAAGTCTTCTAACTCCTTAAGTTAAACCGCTTGAAACAATCTTGGAAACAATGATTATTTAATTGAGGATTGCTAGTATATATAAATATATATGACCTGGCATTAAAATAGACAACCCTACTTTAGTTCTATTCCGGTAAGTATCGAAATTCAGGTTTACAAACCTCCTTGGAATCTACCTTCAGGTAGTAAGGAGACTTTCTTGATCATATAGAAGTTGAATTCTTTCTGTTTTTTTCTGAACTTTCAAAGAAAAATATATCATTTAGTTATCCGTGATTTGTTTTTTGAGATTTCAGAGTAAATTTCTTAAGTTCCTATGTATCTAACCATCTGATCCAATAAAATATGCTATATTATCTTGATGGAGTTTTATTCTCTGAGCTGGATGGTCTGGTTGTGGAGCTTTCATTGTTCTTCTGAACGACATCATCAGCACAAACTCTAGATAGAAGTGAAGTGTTCGAATTTCTCCATATGCGTTTCACAGCTTGTTCTGTACACTTCAATGTTGATTGGTTCTTATTGACCTTAAATTTGTCATTGTTTACTTCATTGCTTTGGTTGTGTCTCCCATTGGTTTGATTTTTGTTCAAAAGATCGATGAAAGCCCCACGATCAAACCATCCAGTTCAGAGAACAAAACTCCATAAAAATCATCCACCTGAGCTACAAATCTTCTCCACCATCTCAAAATACTATATTATCTCTTTCTGTAAGGAATTGCGCGATTTACTAATTCTGTCCATTTTAGATTTATCCTTATTTTAATGAATGCTCTTTTTTATCTTATCCTAAATGGATTGTCTCGTGAATGTGGTTGAGCACTGAATCAAAAATGGGATCTACTGGAGTGGAGATGGTTGCAAGCAGGTTAATAAAGACATGATCATCCCTCCTTTTCCTTCAGCACTATCCAGACTATCGATTTAATGCCACCAGGACAGGCTGATGGAGTTCATCCATAGTTTAAGATCCGTTTTGAACTTATTCCAAGAATGTGATATCATTCAAGACTGAAGGTGGCTTGATAACGGTGTTTTCGGATGATGTGTCGAACGAATGCCAGAAACAAATTAGAATAATCTCGGAGTTGAGACAGACAAATTTCTGGACAATTCGATAGACCTATGGATGCCGCTCAACTGTGGCTGATCATCAGGTTATACAAAATTATTGTAAGTTAATAGAATTATGGTCCATACTCGTATTAGTACATTTATTTTGTTACTGAAAGAATGGACTTAATTCCAAAACCATAGATTCACCATCATATGACTGCATGATCTGTAATATCTTACAAGGAAGTCACATCACTGTCTATTCCGACTCGTCGTGTCATGATAATCAGCAATATGATGTTTAGCACTTCTAAAGAACACATTTAGGCTAGAGATAGACCAATATAATGGATCCGCTGTGTAACGTGGACGTGATGCCACTTTGGAAAATATTTTGAAGACTACTCGGTGTAACACTTAAGCATAAGCCTAATCATTAATGCTCCAAGACATCTGCACGAATGAACTGACATTCGCTTTTATAGATCATATTTATCTAAAAACCCCACTTGAGATGCATACTGTGAGCCAATAAATGTTGTAATTTGCAGATCGTGAATGTAAAACTGGCGTGTACCTGCCCTTGAAGAAATATATTATTATGATTCAACATGCAAAGTTATAGGTTGTACATAAGTTACATGCCTACATGGCTGAGCCATGCCAGCTCGATTCTATGTCCCCACACTCACCATTTTTGTCCTTAATAAAAGACGTCAACCAGCACAAACAAATTAAACCATTTAAACTCTGTCCTGGGAGTTGAAGGAAGAATTTTGACGCCTCAAGGTGACGAGGCTGGTGCTCCTTCCAACAAACTGAAAAACTGTTAATATAGGTACACGGAATGTCCGGACAATGTGGGAGGCCAGAAAGACAAGGTCAAAAGGTTCATATTATCTCCCGAAGAGAAAGATACTTTTTCTGCGGCAAAAGCTGCGATTGCTTTCACAACCATGCTGGCCAACTTAAGTCCTAACCAAGACACAATACTTATTTTGTGCACGGATGCGTTTCAGGCAGCAGTTGGTGCAGTCCTACAACAGATGTTAAGTAATGAAATCCAACTACTTGCTATATTTTCAAAGAAACTAGAACCAACTCAAACGCGATACAGCACTTTTGGTAAAGAATTATTGACCATTTGCTTAGCAGTTAAAAATTTCAGAAATTTGCTTCAAGGTAGAGATTTCATGATGCTCACTGATCACAAACCTTTGCGTATACCTATAATGCCCAGAACAATCATTATTCCCCTAGAGAAATAAGACGATTAGATTGTATTTCCCAAGTTTTGTCCAACACACAGTTTATAGAATGTGAATCAGATATCCTGACAGTTTTTTTTTCACGCTTCAACATGAATGCGCTTTGCTTTATTAGATATCGTGAATTTACAGTCTAATGATCCTGATCTTTCTACGTGTTAACGAAATTCAGGTCCACTGTTAAAAAGCGTTGCAATACCAGCAGGATGAAACCCGTTTTTGTGGATTCGGAATCACAAGACTACCGAAAGCCATTTGGAGAATGCAGCAATTGCAAAACACAACTACTTCAACTACTCCTGAGGAATCAGAACTTCTTACAAACAACAGTGCTGAAGTTACAGCTTCAACGAATTTGGTTCCTAATTTCATCATTTCACCCGTTAAAAAAACCACTCGTACAGGAAAACAGGTACATATTCCCGAATGTTATGTTGCGTTCATTACTTAATCTTCCTCTCGTTATTTTTTGTGGTGTGGGTACGTACTGGCAGAGTTGCTAATAACATTTTTCGCCAACAATCTTTCGGAGACACCCCTATTAGTGTGTACTATTTCTATCGAAAAATTCATTATATTGTCCCTATGTGAATGTGCGTTTCCCATGATATGTGTTATTAAATGTGTAACGATATGTAACTTCGTCATACTCGTTCACTTTATTACTAATCGTATACATGGCAAGGCAGAATATTAATTTATTTTATGTTTTTAATATCATTATGAGCGCGATTATTCGTATCAAGCATCGCATTATTGTTGTTAAACGTTTTACATACGTTTATATATATATATATATATATATATATATGTATAAACACAAAAAATATTTTAACACAAAAAGTTTTTGTTCGAAAGTATATATATGTATATTTATTTATCCTCCTACTCGTCGTGTGTGATGTAATATTTTATTCCCCCCCAAAGCAATCATGGGCTTGGACGAGCATACCTCCACTGACATATGCTCTTGGGGGAGAGTTAGATTTTGACATGTATATTCAATGATTTTATAACGAAAAACTGAAGACCATGTTTTTCTCTGTCTGTCACACTTTGTATATAGTTACATTTGTATCCAATATCTTTTATTTCTCTGTATCAATGGAAAAGAAACGGATATAGTTGGTTGATTGTACACACACTACCGCGATTATTAAAAAACAAACACTCTCTCTGCCGTCTGTCCTTCCAATCTATTGGCCATAATCTTTCATTGGAGATCATAATAGTGCTATAACATCCTTTAGAGCCATTCTACAACACGTCGGAGTTTTGGCTCAGAATACCATTGAACAATACTATAGAATTCAATATTTCTCATCAAGCCATTAATACAATTACGTGAAGAGGAACCTTTGTTGATCAAGCGAACTCATACGTGATTGTTATCTCAGAGAGCAGCTAAGAAGTAAAATTCATCTCACAACAACTGTTGTCATTTTGTTAATTATTCTACCATTTATAAATTAACTGTAGTTCACTACAAACTCCGCCTGTAGCTCTTCTAAAGTTACTGCTGGTCCCAAGCTGTCCATTGTATGCCGTGTTTTCCCTCAGATGTCGAGGTCTTCATAATCCAGTCGACCACCAGAAGAAAGAGGAAAGGAAAGAGTAGACAACCTTGTCTTACTCCGGTCCTTACTTGGAATGCATCTGTCAGCTGTCCTCCATGCACTACTTTGCACTGTAGTCCGTCGTATGAGTTCCGGATAATGTTGACAATCTTCTCAAGAACTTCGTAGTGTTGAAGAAGTTTCCATAGCGTTCTCCTACCTACACTGTCAAATGCTTTCTCATAATCAATGAAGTTGATGTAGAGTGACGAGTTCCACTCAATTGATTGTTCGACGATGATCCGTAGTGTCGCAATTTGGTCTGTGCACGACCGGTCCTCACGGAATCCAGCTTGTTGATCTCGAAGTTGAGCGTTCACTGCGTATTTCATTCGGTTCAGTAACACTCTGTTAAAGACTTTTCCTGGTACTGATAGTAGTGTAATGCCTCTGTAGTTTTCACACTTGCTCAGATCTCCTTTCTTTGGAATCTTGATGAGGTGTCCTTCTTTCCAATCCATCGGCACTTGTTCCGCCTCCCAAATCTTCTTGAATAGAAGATGAAGCATGCTTGTAGTTACTTCGATGTCTGACTTCAACGCTTCGGCTGGTATATTGTCAGGCCCTGCTGCTTTCCCGCCCTTGATTTGTCTGATGGCCATTCTGATTTCTTCTGTCGTTGGTGGATTGACATTTATAGGAAGATCTGTGTGTGCTGCTTCGATGTCCGGTGGATTCATTGGAGCCGGCCTGTTCAGGAGTTCCTCGAAGTACTCTGCCCATCTGTTGCGCTTTTGCTGAATCTCAGTGATCGGTCTTCCTTCTTTGTCTTTGACTGGTCTCTCTGGTTTACTGTATTTCCCTGAAAGCTTCTTCATCGTATCGTAAAGCTGTCTCATATTTCCTTCTCTTGCAGCTTTTTCCGCCGTCGTTGCTAGTTCTTCCACGTATTTTTGCTTATCAGCTC